ATTATAATCGAGGATTCCATAACTGTGAATACATGAAAAACAAATATGTGAAAGGCAGATAAAGAAGTGAATATGAAAGCCATCTTCACAGAAATGAACACCACTACATTATGTTCACACCAACAAAATGATCAGCTCCCAGTTGTCTCGTTAGCTCAGTTGGTAGAGCATTGCACCGGTATCACAAACGTCACGGGTTTAGATCCTGTACAGGCCTAAGCTTTTTTCAGGCCTTATTTTAATTACTGCTCAAAAGGTGTTAATTACTACAAAGATAGCTTACATATTCAGTTGTAGAAGTGTTATTAATAGAATATTGATAGAATAATGGTACTTATTGTAGTTTTGCATGCTTTAAGATTTTTCTTGAACTTCAGTCTACATTTTTTATTTTGTTGTTAAAAACAAACACGTCCAACTACAGTTTGATTGTTTGAGTGTTTGTTCGACATTTTATTCGGTTTTACCCCAAACTGTTTAAATTCTACTGCAGTGTTCCGGTGATCATGAATCTACTACACCACTAACAACAGTGATGTCTTTTAAACATTTTATTGTATTTAGTTTCTCAATAAACGGATTAAATTCCACTGCATTGTGTTTCACAGTATCCGAATAAGGATAACTAAGAAGAGTTAGTTGTCATACAGTACGTTATATGACAACTAATTCTTACTTCTTAGTTTTTCTAATTCTTTTAGTATTTGTTTTAAATATAAAATATCAGAACTATTGCAATACTTCTGCAAGGCTACCTCCACTATCACAATACTATCACGATATCATTGTCACCTATTGCAGAAGTTAAAATTTCCTCAATAGTCACCCTCTCAATTGGCAAGGACTCTGTTCAATGCTTAACCTACAGTACAAGAGCCAGGTAAAAACAGCAAAACTACTGCTACTTGATATAGGGTCAACCATCTTCAAGCCAACCTCAGAAAATACCAAGTAATGGTAATGTCAAGAGATAGCAATCAAAGTGGAAATTCATAATAAAACTATACTCCATGCAGAACCTAGAGCTCCTTGGAACAACACTGGACAGCGGACTCAACTTCTCAGACCAGATTGCTACCAACAGCAAGGATACCAGCAGAATGATAAGGGTGCTGATGAGACCACAGAAATTAACACCAACCAAGGTAAAACTTCACGCTTACAGGACAGCAGTTCTTCCCTTACAGTACAATAGCACTGAGTAGCACCTCTACAGAGCTAGTGACAAGAATAAAATAAAACAAATTAACTAAACAGGTCATAGGGTAGTCCACTTTGATTGGAACTACCCCTATAAAGAACCTCTTAGGAGGGTAAAGCTCAGAGTCCTTCTTAATAGGTACTTACAGGTCAATATAGCCTATTTTAACCTGCCCACTTTAAAACTGTAAAGCATGGGAGGTTACTAAAGGTACTTTGGATCCTATTTATGGTCAAAACACAAGGTGCACACCTACCAACCTTGTGTAGTTTCATGAAAGGCATTAGAAAAAAAGGAACCTGAGGAGCTTGCCAATTAATTCTAGTCTCAGCAGCTACTCATTAATGCATATACTAGACTCCAAATTTGTTAATTTTCATATTCCACAGAGTTTCCATAAAAGTTCAAGTTTTTGTTATAATTTCTACATATTATTATGTACATTTTTCAATTATGGTTGTATATATGGGTCTCCCCAATTAGTTAAGCTTTATGCTTGGCTATAAGACCAGAGGCGGATCCAGGAGAGGGGTTGAGGGGGTTGCAACCCCCCCTTTGAGCAGCTTTTTTTTGTTATTGT